AGACCCTGGGAACCTTTAGCTGAGGGCCTCAGGTTGTGTTGAAGGAATTATTATTATTACCTTAAAAATCGATCCATGCGTGCTCCGTGGGGTTTCCAAGGCTGTGAAGTAGATGACTAGACCTTCCTTTCAAGGCACCTGAGTGGCTTAGACGGCCAGTCCTGTAACTGGCAGCCAATCCCTTAGCTGTTTCCACCACCCAGAAAACTTTTCTGAAGAAATGTTACTGCCACCCTCTGCTGGTGCTTGAGACGCAGGGACCCTTGTAGTCAGAGAACTGACCCGTAGGGTCTTCCAGGCTCTCATCTTCCCCAAAGCAGTCCACCATGTCGGCTTTCTCCCACGAAGTGGTTGGTGGGTTCAAACCACTGACCGCTCAATTTGCAGCCGAATGCTCCACCATTGCACGATCCAGGCTCCTTTGTTGAAGTGAAGACCCTGAGTGGCCCGTGGGTGTCACAAATGAGGAGTCTGGATTTGCATGTGTTGTTTAGACTAACACCTTCTGCAGGTGCTGGGGATGCACCCCTCCAACAACACATGGACTCACCTCCATGGAAGGTAGATCAGAGTGCCTGTACCCAATGGTACCAAGGTAGTGTAGCCCCATCCCTTCCCCAAGCCTCTTTCCTGGTGGGGCCAAAACACCAGCCTGGGGTTCTTGGCCACATGGAGAATAAGGGGTTTCCCCTGCATCCATTCCTGGGTATGTTCTGGAATATTCCTCACAGCTCTGCTCACAAGCCTTTGCTCAGGTTCTTTCCTCCTCTCAGAAAGCTTCACCTTCTCCTCACCTCCATTAAACAAAGCCCCAGGTCTTCAAGACAGAATACAGACGGCTTCCACGACCTCACCAGAGGCCCAGCCAACCCCATGAGGACTCTGGTGTCTCTACTGATTTAGTGACATCTCTGAGGTCTCTTTGGTGTCTCTCTGGGGTCTCTGAGGTCTCGTTGATATCCTTCTATCTCTGAAGTCTTTGGTGTCTCTGAGATCTCTGGTATCTCTGAGGTCTCTGTAGTGTCTCTGTGGGGTCTCTGAGGTCTCGTTGATATCCTTATATCTCTGAAGTCTTTAGTGTCTCTGAGATCTCTGGCATCTCTGAGGTCTCTGTAGTGTCTCTGTGGGGTCTCTGAGGTCTCGTTGGTATCCTTGTATCTCTGAAGCCTTTGGTGTGTCTGAGATCTCTGGTGTCTCTGAGGTCTTTTTGGGGTCTCTGTATCTCTGTGAAGTCTCTGGGGTCTCTGAGGTCTTTTTGGTGTCTCTGAGATTTCTGGTATCTGAGGTTTCTTTGGGGTCTCTGTATCTCTGAAGTTTCTGGGGTCTCTGAAGTCTCATTGGTATCCTTGTATCTCTGAAGTCTTTGGTGTTTCAGATCTCTGGTGTCTCTGAAGTCTTTTGGGGGGGGTCTCTGTATCTCTGTGAAATCGTTGGGATCTCTGAGGTCCCTTTGGTGTCTCTATGGGGTCTCTGGTATCTCTGTGTCTCTGAGATCTCAGCGATGTCTAAGGTCTGGTGTCTCTGTAACATCTCTGTGTGCCTGTGTCTCTGCGATGTCTCTGATGAGTCCATGATGCACCCTCAGTGAGGGCTCTGTCCAGCTTCTTCAGCGAGGCAGTAATGGGACATGTATTGATACATATATGATTTATTTTAGAGAATTGGCTCACACAGATTGTGGGGGCTGGCAAGTCTAGTTGATATTACAGTCTTGAGTCTGAAATCTGTAGGGCAGACGGGAAACTCCAGCAGGGTGTCTTCCCTGGGAAATGTGGTTTGTTCTTGAGGCATCTTGCTGAAGGGTGAGGCTCATGACACTGGAAGGTTCTCTTGTGTACAGCCATCAGGCTGGTTCTGAATCATGGCAACCCCGTGTGTTACAGATGAGAACAACCCCGTATGGTTTTCTTGACTGTAATCTTTATGGGAGCAGACTGCCAGGCATTTCTTCCGCAGTGCCTCTGGTTGGGTTCGAGACATCAGCCTTTAGTTTAGCAGTCGCCACCTAAGGTTGCTATCTAAAGTCAGCTGATAATGATCATATCTTCAAAATACCTTCTCAGCAAATTTTTAGACAGCTGTGTGACCACACACACATAACACTATCACAGGACTGGTGAACAGCTCCCTCCACGCCCCTCCCCCACCATTATTAGTAATGTGAGCGTTAGGGAGCGCCCCGCCCCCTCAGAGCTGAGCTGAGCTGAGCACACACCCACGCTCAGCAGGTGCTGCTGGTCTCCTTTTGCAAAAAGCATAAGATAAACTCAGAGAGGTGGAGCAATTTGCCCGGGGCCACACAGCAGTGCTTGGAGCCCAAAGCATTTGGGCCAAGTGAGCACTGTGCTAGTCTGCCTCCCCCAGGGCACTAAGCCCTAGTAACCTTTGGGAGTCTCCCCACTGGGCCTGAGCCCTAGGCCTTACTTGTGAAATAGAGCCCAGCCGTCAGCTTCACCTTTCCCTTCCCTCCACTTATGTGTCTTCATGAGCTTAGTGGCCCAGGGACTTGGTGGTCACTTGTACCCTTGGAGAACGCCTGTGTTCATTTCCGACCTGCACCTTGTTCTGGGAGGGATTCTATCACTCTTGGACAGAGACCTCCAGACCACACCATGACAGTAAAGGGATGGCTTTCGTGGGCTACATCCATTACCCTTGCATCCTAGTCTCACGCTAGTCCACTATGCAGTCCCCAGCCTGAGGCGTGAGGTCCCAGGGCCTGAGCCCCAGACATTACCAGGAGGAGGGCAGGAGCTTAGACTCCGCAAACTGGCAGCCAGGGGGCAGGGCCGAGAAGGGTGCCCACTGCCCTCCCCCGCTGGGGTGAAGAGTGCATGGGGCTGGGGAGGGGGGAGGGCAGTGGAGCTATGGGTCCCTCTAAAGAGGGAGGAACAGTGGGCGTTGGACAAAGCAGGCCCTATGTGTCCCTCCGTGAATAGGCAGCTTGATCCTAACCCTGGTCTCATAGTCAGGCCAACCCGCGGCCCAGTCTGAAGAGAGAGAACTGGGCCACGTGAGTCAGACCCTGAGATCTTGGCTACCCTGAAGCTTCGACTCCTGGCAGGAGCACGAGGTGTCCTGAGGGACTGGGGAAGAAGACAGCAAAGTTCCTGACTAGCTCCCTCCCAAGCAAGACACAAATTCCTCTTGCCTAGGAACCAAAGGCAGACCCCTATCCAGTTCCTTGTAAAAGGTGGCCCTGCAGAGAGTCCAGTCACCAGCCTTAGACTCTGACTACTAGAGTCTACTACTACACCTCTAGGTCTCGATTTCCTCACCTGTGAAATGGGATGGTAAAGGTGCCTTATTCTTTGCTGCTGCTTATCTTTGCTCATCAGAACAAAGTAAAACTACCTGTCGGGTTTCCTAGGCTGTGCTCTTTACAGAAGCAGACAACTAGGTCTTTCTCCTGCAAAGCCACTGGGTGAGTTTGAACTCATGGCCTTCCGGTTAACAAGCGAGCACTTAACTGTTGTACCACCAGGGCTCCTTAGGAGACACCGAGTTTCCTCGTGGCAGAACTCTTTGGAAACAAATAAAACTGATGGCTGCATAACATTAACGAATCTAATCCATGTCACGCATTTAGACGTGGAAAAATGTTGAAATGAAGTGTTTTGTTATGTATTTTGTCTCAGTAAAAAAAGAAAGCGTGCCCTGTTTGTAGGTCACACGACCATGGGCATGTGTGCTCTGTGGTGTTTGGGAAGCACCCTAGCTTCAAGCTGTGACAATCAAAGATGTCCCAGACTCTGTCTCCTGCCCCTGGTCCCCTGCACTTGAGCATCTGCAGAAAGGGGCAGTTTGTGGTGGGACTCACAGGAAATGCTGCTGTGAGTGGCGGGGGAGGGGTCTGGAGAGAACCTAGGTGGGGACGAAGGGGGCCACCGGATTTCAGAGCAGAGTGATGTTTCCTTCCTCTCCTGTACCCCCAGGGGACACTCCCATCTCGAAGTCTTGGTTTCCTGTCCAAACCCTGTGTTCACTTGACAGAGAGGCTAATGGCAAAGTGTGGGCCACTGGCAGCCTGGGGTCTGTCTGGGCCAGGCCTCTAGCTGTCTCCGCTACCCCCTCCACCTTCAGTTTGTCTGTTTTGGGAGGAGAAAGCGCTGAGTCAGTGGCACTGAACTTGAACCTGGGCCCTGGGAGGCTTCACTAATTGCTTGTTAGCGCCCAGGCACCCCAGAGAGACCTGTCTGGGGTTGACGCATTCCTGTGCACCCAGTCTCACTCAGTCTTCTCCTGGGGGCCCCCACCTGGGACATAAAGCCAGCTGGAAGAATCAAAACAAAACCAGAACCTTCTTCCCATGCCTGAAGGTTTCCTTTTTCAGGGAAAAGCAAAGCCTGACATCTTTCCAAACGAGAACTGCAGTGTCTAGTAACCTGGAATATGTTCTTTCAGAGGTCTTTACATCAGAATGGGGGGTCCCTTGCATTCCCGCCAGTTAAGGGTGGGGTGTACATGTGTGTGTTCATCTGATGGATGTTTGTATGTGTGAGGGCGTTGTGGTCTGTGTATTGTGTGTGTATTTAGGAGAGTTTGTGTTGGATTTTGTAAGGATATCTGGCACAGGGGAGGAACATTCCAGCTGCAAGTACCATTCTTCAGGCAGGAATTTTTGGAGGCAGCTTTGTGCTGGGGAGAAGGGGTAGTTCATCAAACTGGGTACAGCTAGGGAAGGAAGAGTGGGACCATAGCTGTGAGAGCTGGGAGTGCCTGGTTCCTCCGGCACCTCCAGGATGATCCACAGACAGGGTGGTGCTGCACCTTCTGTGGCTCGTCCTCGCAGCAGCTAATGCCCCACCCCTTCAGGACCGTGCCCGCTCCAGCCCCGATGTCATCATTTTGTGACTGTCGGGAAAACGTGCCTTGGGTTTCCCCGGGTTTGAAAACCACACCCCACTTCTGTGGGTCTTTTCCTGGTAAGGGGTGGGGAGTGGAGGTTCCAGGCGTGCGGTGGGTCTCCTCTTACCCCATATCCTGTGTCCACAGCGGAGCTGGAGTTTGTGCAGATTCTCATCATAGTGGTTGTAATGATGGTGATGGTGGTGGTCATCACATGCCTGCTGAGCCACTACAAACTGTCCGCACGCTCGCTCATCAGCCGGCAGAGCCAGGGCCGTCGGAGGGAAGATGCGCTCTCCTCGGTGAGTGTCCCCCTCCTCCTGGCGGGCCCCTGGGGGAACTGGGTTCAAGAGAAACCTACCTGGGTGGGTGGGCTTCTGTGTAATGAGTGCAGAGGGCCTGCTGAGTGGGTAAAAAGGCTCTTAGGTACATTTCACCTGACTCAGCAATAGCTCAACATGCACCCATTGCGTGCCAGGCACTGCCAGGCCGTAGACATGGGTCATGAGGGCAGATGATCCTTGCTGGCATGGAGCCGACACTCTAGGGAGGGGGCAGGCATTAGCAGAGAGGAACCTTTTGGGTAATGATGAATGATGATACAGAGCAGGAAGTGTGATTCCGAGCTGGGTGGTTTATCTTCACCTGGATCAGGTGTTGTGTGCTGGGGACCTGGGGCAGGTGATGGAGGAAAGGATGTTGGGAAGGGGCTAATGGAGCCATTTGATTCTGTGCCAGGCAGAGCAGGGGTATTGGGAAGGGGGAGAACCAACTTCCCCAGTGCTGAAGCAATGGGACCTAGACAAGAGAGGCATAGACCCACCCTGCTGGTGTGAGTCACACTGCCCTGGGGTCCCACCACAACCTGCAGGAAAAGGCCCTTCCTGGACCCAGAGTTTAATCACAGCTCCACCATTTCTTGCTGGCTGTGTGTCCTTAAGCAAGTTCCTGATCCTCATCCTTGAGTCCGGAGCTTATGTTCCAGGCTTCCTCCCTGAGGGCCCAGTGCTTTTCACAGGCCGGAGTGTTGCTGACCATGGCAGCATTTCACCCACTTATCCGTCCATCCATCCATCCATCACCCAGTCACTCATCCATCCATCCATCCACCCAGTCACTCATTCATCCATCCATCTATCCACCCAATCACTCATTCATCCATCCATCCATCCATCCATCCATCCATCCATCCATCCATCCATCCATCCATTCATCCAGCCAGCCAGCCATCCATCTATGCATCCAGCCATCTACTCAATCATCTATCCATCCACCTTTCCATCCATATTCCCATTCATTCATCCATCATCCATCCACCCATCCATCCATCTGTCTGCTCACTCAGGTATCCATCTATCATCCATCCATCCATCCATCACCATCCATTCCACCCACCATCCTTCCATCCATCCACCCACTCAACCATCCATCGTCCATCCATCCACTCATTCATCTATCCATCCACCTTTCCATCCATATTCCCATCCACTCATCCATCATCTATCCACCCATCCATCCATCCATCTCTCCATCCATCCAGTCACTCACTCAGGTATCCATCTATCATCCATCCATTTACCTATTTGCCCATCCATCCATCCATCCACCCACTCATCTATCTGTCCATCCATTGGACAGACATCCATCAAGCATCCACTGTTGCCTAGAACACAGTTGACCCCTTGAAAAAGTCTCATGGGACCACTGCCTAGGGTAGTGGGTCTAGAGAGACAGACATGCATACTTCCAAATATACTAAGAACCCTAAAAAAAAAAAAATGAGGGGGCTGTGACAGAAGTTTCACCTGGGTAGCCAGTCCATGCTCTAAGAGATGAAGAAAAGCTAGCCACAAGAGGAGGGACTGAAGGTGAACAAAGGAGGACGTAGGTGTTGGGGAAGAGGCAGGAAAAGGCAGAACTATGTTGTGGAAGGATCCTTGATATGATGTTGATATTCCTGGTGTGGCGCTATAGAATCAGCCCTGGACTGCGAACCTCAAGGTCGGCAATTCAAACCATCCAGCTGCTCCTTAGAAATCCTATAAAGGTCACTTAGAGTCAGTTTCAACTCATATCAACCCATTATAGGGTTTCCAAGGAGTGGCTGGTGAGTTTGAACAGCTGATCTAGCAGTTAGCAGTCCTGTGCTTATCTTACAGCACCACACTGGGACTCCTTTAATATGTCATTGTTTTAAGTGTCGTCAAGTCAGTTCTGACTCAAATGTCACCCTGTATAAGGTTTCTGAGGTTATAAATCTTTGCAGGAGTGGAAAGCCTCATCGAACCAACGAGCTTGTGGTTCGCAGTCCAGAACTTATCGTATGGAGCCACCAAGCTTCCCAGCACATTATTAGAAAACCTGAAACTCTGAGGGGTCAGATGAGAGGCAGTCTTCTGACTTCTGCCTCTGTGCAGATGAATGAAGCAGGAGAGGGGACAGAATTAACTCCTGAATGGTTTCCATCTCCTTGCTGGGCTTCATCAGCTAATCGCTGGAGACAGAAATAGGCTGGGTGATGGGCAGGTGGGGATTTGAGGGGAAAGGCCGCAGAGCGTGGAGGTGGCAGCTTCCTGAGGCTGTGGAGTTGTGCCAGGCCGGGGAGCTAGAGACGCAGGCCTGTCGCTGACAGGTCTGGGCGCCTCCGCTCTTGCGTCAGACCCAGATTCGGTGCGTCACTAGGGTGGCACACTGGTTCTGCCGCCGGAAGGATGGGGTGGGCCCAGGCCTAGTGTGTCTAAGAGCCAAAGCCGCATTTCCTGAGGGGAAACATCAGCTCTGGAGCTCACCTGGGCTGCACCTGCTGCTGTTGACACCTGGGGACACTTGATGAGATGGCATTTGGGGAGCCTGCAGCCTCATTTCTCCCCACTTCAGTGTTGTGGGGTCAGGAGCCCAGGGAAGATGTGCTCCGGGGCAGGGCTGTCCTGCCCACCCGAGCTCAGTGCTGGCATCTGTGACGTGGCTTGATGCTGAACTCTCCTAACTCACCGACAGTTGTGGGGGGATCATGTGAGATGTACATGTGCTGGGGTCCCTGCAGGGCAAGACCAGCATATGGGCACCACCAGACATTGCTAAAACAGAGGTCAGGACCCCGGCTGGCTCCCCAGGACACCTGAGATTAAGAGGAGGGGTGGAGCAGTGGCCACTTAGGAGACCTGTCTACCCAGCTGCCTGCTAGAGCCTCGGGGAATACTGGCTGGATAAACACGGAGCCTTGTTAGGCCTAAAGTAGAATGTGGTGGCTCCCCTGGGGCAGTCCTGCCAGACAGGGCACGCCTGAGGCGTCTCAGCCCCATGACCTCCCCACCTCCCCAAGGGACCCAGTAAGAAGACCGACCGTGGGGCCCCTGAAGAGGAGGCATCCCACCCAGCTTGCAGGTCTGCACACCCCAGGGGGCTGGTGAGCTTCTGAAAAAGAGGTCAGGGGCAGGCCCAGAGTTGGATCCAGCGTTTGTTTCTGAGCCTTCCTCAGAGTCCCGTCACTGCCATGCAGCACATCAGAGGGAATCATGGGCCCATTGTGCAGCTTAGGAGAACTGCTTTTAAGGGAGGTAGACAGCTTAAAGAAAACAGATCTGCAGAGGGCTGCAGGTGTGTGTGTCTGGGAGATGGATCATTTTTTTGGATGCTGTAGGGGGCCTCACACTCCCCCAAAAGACACCAAGCCCGTTGTCAATTCTGAATCCACCCCATACAACATAGCAGAGGTGTCCCATCGGGTTTTCTTGGTTATAGGCTTTTACGGAGGCAGATTGTCGGGTCTTTTTCCCATGGAGTTATTGGGTGGATTTGAACCGCCAACTTTGGTTTAGTAGTCCAGTACAAACTGCGTGCACCCCCGAGGGGCCTCTGTAGGGAGCCCTGCAGGGCTTGAGGGGAGGGCCAGGGTCTGGTTTGCATGAAGGAGGTAACTCCAGCTTTTGTGAGAAGTAGGGACTGTGGGGTGGGGGTGGGAGATTAGAATGGAGGCTGAGGGGCCTTTGGGGTCCCTTTAGGATCTTGGGACCAGCAAGAGCAGCACCCATGAGCTTGTGGGGCATGCAGAGGCCCTGGCCCCGCCCAGCCCTTCTGAACAGAATCCACATTCTCACCAGGACAGAGCGCAAGTTGGTCCATTGCATGTCAAAGTTAGAAACCTGGGAATGCAGGATGCCCCTGGTTCACCTGGACTCGGATGGTCTAAAGGAAGGTACAGAGAGATGGCTGGTGGAGGAGGGGTCAGGAAGGAAAATCAGGGTGCTCAGAGGAACCGTGGGATGAGGGGGGAGGGGAAAAGGTCAGGAACAGCCCCCGGGGGCATGTGGTTTCTACATCTGGAAGGACTTGGATGCCACAGACTGAGCTCAGGAACCAGAGAGGACAGTGAACCCTTCTGCAGGTGTTTACAGATGCTGGACACAAGAGAGCGAGCCCAGTGGTTGCTTCTTGGAAGAATCCCTGGAGGAAGGGTTAGTCAGGTGGTACAATGCTGACTGCTAGTCCAGGGTTCCTCAGTATTGACTGGTGTTTTCTAAACTCCTGGGTGGGTGGAGGACCCCTAGGCAGGGCAGGGGGACTAGGAGCTAGTGTTGGGAAAGGGGTCTGGGGCATGTTTCACAGGCCCTGGGCTTCTTGGGCAGTTCATGTCTACAGCCCAGAAGGATTCCCCTTCTGCCTCCTAGTGCTCATATGGGCTGGGTAAAGGGGACCCAGCCAGGCCAGCTCGGGGCAGGTGGAATCTGATTCATGCAGGGTTGGGCCTGTCCACCCTAAGAGGGCTGGGGGCACTGGCTAAGGGTCCGCTTCCTCTCACCAGCTGGCTGATCTCATAGGCTCCCAGCTTAGGGGGACCTGCCATGTAAGTTTGTGGGAGAATCATGAGGATCCATTAAAGACTTAAGAAACCCTAGTGGTGTAGTGTTTAAAGTACTTGGCTGATAACGGAAAAGTCTGTGTTTAGAGCCCACCAGCTGCTTCTCGGAAGAAAAATGTTGCCGTCACTTCTGTAAAGATTTACAGCCTCGGGCAGTCTGGCCTTTAGGGTCACTATGGTTAGGTGGGTTTCCCAAGGGCTTAGCACAGTGACTGACTGAGGTTGTGGGTGATACGGCATTACACCCCAAAAGGACCACTGATTCCACATGAGCAATAACAGGGTGCGCCATCCTCGCCCTGGAACATACTAGATCCCCTGTGAGTTTTATGAAATGTCTGTCTTCCGGGAGGAAGCTGTGGCTGTCTGCTCCCGTATTTACAGCCTCCGAAACCCTATGGAGCAGTTCTACCCTGCCATATAGGGTCTCTAAGAGTAGAGACCCCTGGTAGTGTAGTGACTGCTAATCTCAAGGTCAGCAGTTCGAAACTACCAGCCGTTCTGCAGGAGATAGATGAGGCTTTCTGCTCCCGTAAAGATTTACATCCTCAGAAACCCTGTACAGGGTCGCTATGAGTCGGAACCGACTCCACGGCACACCGCCACCACCACCACCACCACCAAGAGTCTCCCTTAGTGGGTTTGGTTTTGATTTTTTTCATGGGGACAGTTTTGAGAGTCACAGAGCCCTCTTGTGGCTACACAGGGACCCCTGACATTACCTGTCCTGGGAGCTCTCAAGAAATTTAAGAGTGATAGGTAGTAGGTTCGTGATCTTGTTGGTGTATACTTTGAATAGGAAACCCCTAGGAAATGTAAATGGTTAAAGCACAGAACTACTAACTGAAAGGCAGATGGTTCAAACCCAGCCATGAGTTGGAAATGACTATGGTAATAAGCAACAAAATACTTTGCGAACGTGCCGTATGCTGTACATCAATTGTTCCCACTGTTGTTGTTAAGTGCCGTCTAGTCGGTTCCAACCCATAGAGACCTTGTATAGGGTTTCCAAGACACAGATAGCTTGGTGGGTTTGAACTACTAGCCTATGGTTAGCAGCCCAGTGCAGTAAATAAGTACTCACTTGTCCCCCATACCATGGCATGAGGTTCTACTCCTGGACCTTAGCTTCTCTCCTAGAGGTAGGACCCAGTTGGGTGATGTTCCACCAGTCAGAGCAGGGCCCTAAATGTGTGGAAGGCTCCCAGGTGGGCTCATGTTCCTCAGGCTCTGTCAGGTGGCCCCAAACCAAACCAGACCCACTGCCAACAAGTCCATTCCCACCCATAGCATCCCTATAGGACAGAGGAAAGCTACCCCATCGGGTTCCCAAGGCTGTCATTCATCTTGAAGGAAAGACCACCATTGTCTCTCTCGTGAAGTATCTGTTAGGTTCAAAATGGAGGTGTTCCCCCCACCCCCCTTAACTGCATCACCAGTGTGGCCAAACCATGTGGTTCTGGAGCCTTTTAGATGCTGCCAGCAGGTGTCAAGGATAAGGGGCCCGTAGGTATGACTTGAGTTTGTACAGGGATTGTATGAGGACCAGGTTCCCCCCACACTGAGCCCACACAGCCTGGTGGCCCATGGGCATATGCGAGTCCAGCACCTGCCCTTTGGATTCCCGGGAGGAACCACTGACCCTGCCTGTCCCCAGCTCCTGACCAGAGCAGGGAATGAAGTGGTGTTCATGGACTTACTTTAAGAGCCCCTTCATAGACTCTGCTCCTTCAACAGCGGTGATTGTTGGGTGGACGTCAAAGCCATTCCATCTCCTACTGACTCCCTATGACACAACTGCCCCAGAAGGTTTTCTAGGCTGTCATTTTTATGGGGGCAGGTTACCGCTTATTCTTCTGCGGAGCAGCTGGTTGGGTTCAAACTTCCGACCTTTCAGTTCACAGCCAAGCGCTTAACCATTGCACCACCAGAGCTCCTATATCAATGGTCATCAGTCCAACATACTGCCGTGGAGTTGGTTCCAACGCATAGCAACCCTATAGGACACAGTGGAACTGCTCCTTTGGGTTTCTGAGACTAAGGGTTTGTGGGAACAAATGACCTCATTAATCTCTTGACGAGTGGCTGGTGTGCTTGAACCACCAACCTTGTGGTTAGTAACCCAAAACGTAACCTACTGCGCTAGCAGGGCTTTGCCTATGATTACAAAAAACAACAACAACAACAACAACAAGGAGTCCTGGTAGCTTAGGGCTTCTAATTGAAAGGTCAGCAGTTCGAATCAATTAACCAGTCTCTCCTCAGGAGAAAGATGAGACTTTCTGCTCCAGCAAAGATTTACAGCCTCAGAAACCCTTTACAGGATTCCTAAAGGAGCTCTGGTAGCATAGTGGTTACGAATCGGGCTGCGAACCTTAAGGTCAGCGGTTCAAAACTACCAGTCACTCCGCGGGAGAAAGATGAGGCTTTCTACTCCCGTAAGGATTTACACCCTCGGAAACCCTGTTCAGGGTCGCTATGGGTCGGAACCGACTCGACGGCACTTAACAACAACAACAACAATGAGTCGGAATCAAGTTGACTGCACACCACCACCAAAAAAACCGTAAACACTCCGCCATCGACTCATAGCAATCTTATATAGGGTTGCTGTATAGAAAGGTTTCTATATAGAAAGTCTCTGGTCTCCTGTGGAGCGGCTGGTGAATTTGAACTGCCGATATTGCAGTTAGCAACCCAGAGCTTGTCCTGCAGCGCTACCAGGGCTGACCATATAGCAAGAAAGACAGACTACATAGATCAGTAAATAAGTTGATAGACAAGACAATTACAGATCTAAGTGCTACGGAGAAAATGAGCAATGGCAAGAGCCTAGAAAAAACTCCTTTAGATGAAATGATGTCAGAGACAGACTAGAGGGAATGATTGAAAAACAGAAAGGAGTTGACCATCCAATAGGATAGTCTGTGCAAAGGCCCTGAGGCATGGTCTGTTACCTAACTAGACCAGAGGCCATGTGGCTGGAGGGAAGAAGGTAGCATCATTAGGCACTTTTATAGACTTTGTTGTTGTTGTTATGTGCCATGAAGTCGGTTCCGACTCATAGCGACCCTACACAGGGTTTCCAAGGCTGTAAATCTTTACGGGAGCAGACTGCCTCATCTTTCTCCCGCGGAGCGGCTGGTAGTTTCGAACTGCTGATCTTGAGGCTCGCAGCCCGATTCGTAACCACTACGCTACCAGAGTGGCATAGTTGTTATTTTTTG